AAAGCTACTGTAGAAGTATGGTACTACACAAACTATTAATGAGTAGTAAATTTATTGCGCGTACAAGACAGGGGTTGGTGGATTCTCACGATATTTATCCATTAAAAAGATATCTGGGAGTGAATTAGTGGATTCACTATTGTATTAATGGAAGTTTAAAAGAGACCATTGGATTATTTGATTGCTGTCTTCAAGTAACCCATGAACTGACTATTTCAGATAACATGTTTCGTTCTATGCAACCGAAATTACCTCGTATCCATGTAATTTGTCCAATAACAAACTGCTCTGTTCGGGATTGTCTTGTGGATTTATAACACTAAGACCGAGATCGAACAAGTACATCGTACTGATTATGGTTCGCGTGATACACTTTTATTTCGTGCAGTGTCAGTGGATGAGCTCAATCGGTCACCAAGGTCTCGCAGGACTCGCAAAGGCGGTGACGATATTAATTAACGCTGGCCACACTGAATCTGTTTATGGGTTTATGTAGGCAACAAAAGTAGCAGAAAACGGTCAACGTTGGAAGTAGACTAATGAAAATAAGCTCTAAATAGGAAGTAAACCATACTGATATATGTAACTGCACTACTATTTGACTGACATAAACCAAATTTAGAAGAAATACAAATTGAACCAACCCAGGAAAAGTCAAGAAAAATGTTGGTATTAGAGTTTACTTGAAAACATTCACAGAAATTTGAAAAAATAAAGCTGGCAAATTGGACTTTCTGGTGTTTTCAATTTTGAACCCTATATATGACTGTATTAGCCCGAGGAGGAAGTTATCAGAAACAAGCTTTGTTCGCTACAGTGTTTTCTTAACATTCATCAATCTATGAGCATTTCGAATTACGCGTAACATTTTTTGCCTTCAAGCTTAACAGAATTCGAACGCAGTCTCCGTCCTTTTGTATTTTATATCTAAGTCATTGAATGACTAAAACGAACTGGGGATAGCAATTGAAATACACCTAATCTTGTGCCGTAAATTAGTTTATTGATCCGTGTGAACAGTTTTTCCTTTATATATGTTCAGTGTGACGTTTGGAGTTAACTGAAACATGAGCGTCATTGCCCGAAAAGGTTACACGAGGTAATGCAATGTGAAGGAAAGCCAACAATGCGGCTCATCATAGAAAATTGCCTTACAAAGAATATATTGTTTTGCCGTATTACAGCCAGCCGTGCCTACCTACACCCCCATTCAAAGACTGCCAGTCAAACGAATTTACCATTCTCCATCACTATATATACCCGTTCTCTTACCGTTGCAAGAAAACATACAATCAAACTCTGCGGTTTAGAATGGTCGCACATATTCAAAAATACATATACCAACCTATTCTTGAATGAAACGCAATAACCGACTTCGGTCATTGCAAGCTACTTGGCGGAAAGCGATGTGAATTTAGGTACTACGAAAGCACTCTGTCATCGCGACAAACATCAACCGAGGTTACTTGAGGCATTACCGACCACGCCAAACTCACGCATTGTCCAGAAACGAATGGCATTTACCCTTGGCTCACTTTGGTTGTGACCGATGGTGTCCAACCTCCTCCTTACAAAACTTAAGGGGTTTTCTTATTTCATTTCATACTATTCAATTGTGTTCACTGTCATACATACGTGACCGATGAGAGTATACAAAAGGACCTCACCTCAGAGTGATTGTTTTCCGACTTGCTTGTTCAAACTAATCAAGGGATCTAAATGTTTCGGGGTCTTAAAAAGTCCATGTTTTCTGTCCACTATGTACGTTTATATCCTACTGTCCGATATCTTGGTCTCTTTCGCATTTATGACCCACCCTTAGGTACTCAATTCGAAGTAGACTTCTTTTATGCATCATTAGTCACTTATATACTCTCTTTTGTACATTTATTTTTAGACCTTTCATCCGTCCGTTAGTATCTCTTAATTAAGCCATATAACTGTTCTATTACCAATGATTGCACGTTAGTTTGCATTTATATGCAATGGTTTCGCGTATAAGTGTTCCAACTACAGTACCTTGGTATCGCGACTTGTGAACCCTCGCATGCGTAGTACTTATGAATGGTTCTGTAGGGGAATCCAGTATATTGCTGCTCTCAGATCCAGGAAGCTTCAGTATGGTTATCCGCTTGTTTTGTACACTGTACAGTTCAGCTTTGTTTGCGGCCCATTTTCTTTTACCCATCTTAGTATCCTCGGTTGTTGATTTTTATACCGATCACTAAAATTTAAGACACCACGTCCATTACATGATCCCCAATGGGGTCGATCGATTCACTCTACTGATGAAATTCACCCAGGTCGAAACAGCAGCTCAGTGCTTCCCATCTTTTCAGATCACGCTTCATTTGCCTGTTACGCGGTGAACTTCACTGTGCACTACGTATATAATTGTGGCAAAGATATTTTAACGGGAACTGTCTAATGTCTCTATAAGTTTATTCATGCTGGAACAATGAAGCGGACAGTTTGCACCCTATTACCGAACTTGGAAATTTGTTTTCAAACGTTTCATCACCAGCCGAGGTGACATCATCAGTGCTTGTGAAGTGACCAAGCTCGGTGAGCAGGCGAAATGGAATTCAGTTCACCCGAGCTATGAGAACCAATTTCCAAAATTTTGTCAAAAGCTTTTATCCTCCTCTATCTCACCAAGTACCAGACACAAAAGCGCACCAGTTACGGATGAGATCGGATTCATGTAGCTTCCACGTTTGTTTCACTCTTTCCTTCTGTTCCATGAACTTTTGGATCAAATTACTGCAGCTTCCTCGTGTACGACCTCATCCTCTTTATTTGTATCGCATTATAAACGCAGCGACAGATATTCTAATGGCATCTGATTATGAAACTGAAATGATCACGTGTACTCCAACCATTTGCACTATCTCGTACGTGATAAAATAGTTATAGAATATAATTGCAAACCTTGTCAAATAACTAAAATGGTGATACACACCGCTGAAAGTTCAAACTGTTATCAAAACTCGGTAGACCATCCTTTTCCTTTCTCACACCACTGCTTACCGCCTATATTTACCAATCTGTGTTATAGGCAGCGCTGGATGAGGACAGAATCTTTTTGAAAAGGGTGACAAATGGAAAACTCAATGATTGCCTCTTTCAAGTGATACGGAACATGTTTGCAATTATACGGGCAAATAAGTTTTGAAAACCAGAATGATTAATCTGGTCATATTCTGGTGCTAAGTCCAATTCTTCGTGGAGTTAATCTCGAATGTGAATTGATTCAAATCGAGAGGCTCTCTGGTTCCAGAGTTCAATCTGACTTTCAGTCTCTTTGGGTTTCGACTGAGCCAAAATTCAATACCAACCAGAAGCCTTCACAGTTTTATGAGTCTAAAGAAACCAATAAGGGTAACTATGAGCACTTACATGCTAGTATTGGCTAAGAAAATAAAATACAAACAAGGGCAAGTGAACATTATAATCATATAATAGACATATAAATCACCTCTGAGCAACAACAGCACAGATTCATTTAGAGATTGGTTAGACGAAAACAAATGAACAGAATATGAACGCGACGGTGCGTGTGCAGTTTAAGTGGTGGAAACCATCCCGGTATGAGGATAAATTTTCTGTAAACAGTCCAAAAGTCTCCAAAAATGAGACTTATTTCAGATTAACTTTTATGTAACGCCACAATGTATCAATCCGAGCGCAGGTGTTTATTTGAAATGAGTCTAGATCCGCTTTCGCTTGCCATTTCTCGCGAGCCAATTGAACTGCCGACCACACAGCACGCATAGGAATGAGTAATGCATCAGGATCTTCCGTTTTAATAGACACCTTCGGATCTCCTGGCTCCACATTCAGTTTTGACTGCGGACTGATCCACAACAGTTGAGCTTGATTAGCCAGAGATTCGCAAGAATAATCCGGATCCCCACCGAGCACCAAAGTTGCATTCCAGTGAGAGATAATTCTTCCGTAACCAATGGAACTCAGGGTAACCGGACAACTTTGATCCTGAACGGTTCCAAGCACTTTGACTGCTAAAAAGTTGAACCAACTACCACATACGTACTTCAGTAAATTGTCGTTGAGGGTTTGATTTTGTTTCTCAGACAACTGGCAATCAGGATAATGCAACTGAATGGGTTTTTCACTGAACTGTGTGGATTCTGTACTGACTGACGTGGTTACTTGCTCTGTGGAAGGACCCGGTTTTGCCTTCCACGCACTGGGGCATTCGTTCAGGGTGTAAACCTTAGAAACACGTCTGTTTGTTGCGTAATAATCCATTGCTTCGATCACAGCTGCTTTTGTGTTTTTCACGTAAACGATCTGCTCCAAACTGATTTGGACGCATCGTTTCTGTTCTGTTACCCAATTGTTTGAATTGTCGTCGGAGCGTGCGAAACCATTAAAATAGACAGATACAGTGCTGTCGTCCGGGGCAAATTCCACTTGTCTAGGATTTTCTGGATCCGTGTTAACCTGCTTAAAGATATCCGACTGAATAGGTTTCCATCCGCTGACCATGTTTACTGTGATCAGTAGCATTCCTGTCTCTTGTGAATTGTCAACCGTTGGCTTCAGACAGATTGACAAGCTTGCTGTAGAGCATGCATTTGCCGGCGGTTCTTNTGCTGTGTCAGGACAACCATTTGGAATACGGATTCTTGTCGATTCTCTTCATCATGCACGTGATACATGAACGATGAATGCACAGACAAACATCCACCACGGGGTGTGGATGACGAGACTGTCCACGTGACCTGATGCACATCATTGGGTCTTATATTGTCCGATACAACGAACTGGTTCAAAACATGTCGCTTTTCGGCATTCACTTTATCCGTGATGGTGAAACTGACGGGTTCAAGAGTGGCCTGAACACTCAGAGTTTCGGGTTCGTGAGCATCACTCCCTAGACCAAGTCGTTTGGCAAAATGAGTAATTGCTTCGAGAGCAAGTACCGTATCTTGTGTGGAGAAAAATCCTCCTTCCGGTTTTTGTTGAGAAGACAACCAACGAATAGAGGGGAATAGATCTTGAGTGGAAAGTCCACTTTTACTGAATGTGAGCAACGCGTAACTGGTTGTCTCCACGTCTAAGGCATCAGTTTTCATGGTGACAGAAACATCTGCTCCCTGCTTTTGACGAGCTAACCAGTAGTATAGTTGGTGTGATAAACCAAGAGGTTCCAAGTGTTGTTGGCGTCGAACCAATTCCTGTTGTAAAAGGACACTCTTTTCGCTATTCGGATCCAACAGAATTAGAGTATAGGCTAGTTGAGCCAGAGCATAGGTTGTCATTTTGTTAATGGTTTCAGTTCGAGCTAACTTATGGGTATGATACAAGCAACGGCTAGCTGCCTCAATCATCGGGCTGAATTCTGATGAAAAATCTGTGCCATTATACGGTTTAGTTTCCAAAATCGCAGCCAGAATGTAGGCGGTTAAGAGTAATTCTTTTTCTTTGTCATCTCCGGTTCCCGCTCCACCTTGCATTCCTGAGTGTAATACGCGTCCCAGTTCAATAAAACAACCCGTGTTCTTGTCCTGGCGTTGTTTAATAAATTGTGTTATCTCAGTAAACATAGTACTCCAGTCAATTTGAATCGAACGGTCTACTCGGTAAGCCTTGGCAAACACCCGCAAAACAAATGCAGTCAACCAAGTACTTCCCTCCTTGTCCGTTTTACCAAACGCCGAATAGGAGCCATCGTCGTGACGATATTTTAATTGGCGTTGATAACCGGTAACAATATGCATTTTTGCATCCCGTTGCAGTTTTTCAATAGCACGACTATTTCCACTAGCACCGACAGATTTGAAATAATCTAGAATATAGACATTGGGGGCAACAATAACCATATTTTGTTCACCGCAACCGACAGGCAAACGAACTAACTTGTCCAGGTTAGCCAAAGCCGGTCCAAGAACCTCATCACTATAGGATAAGTAGACACGCAACGAATCTGGGACGTACTGGGTCTGGTCTGGTAGTGTGATTGGAAACGACGCTTTCACTGAAACTTCATCTCCAGTTAGACAGAGTATGTCTCCTTGACTTAAGTCGCGTCGCATACCTTCTGGTTCGACTTTGATTGCACGTCGAATTACATCTGAGAAGGTTTGCGATATTAGCTCAGCGCCCCGCTGATCCATCTCAATGTTTGTACACATATCCGTGTTTGTTTGTGCATAGGCTTCCACCGTCACGTTTAACATACCAAGACGTTTGGATAAAAGGCCCAACTGGAATGTCTTTTTCTCTCCAGGACATACACAACCAGTGAATGCTTGGCCACCTATAACAGTCCAGTCACTTTCATTTAACTGAGCGCTAACCGAGACATCCATGCAGCCTACGATTCCGGATTCTTTTGTAGGTGAAACAAATACACTCAGGGGTAGATAGAGAATTTCTCCCCGTTTCACTTGATTTGGCAATGTGATTTCCACAAAAAATGGCATCGATGTGGTCAACTCAATTGGATTTGGCATCCATAATCCGTTAGACTTCGTGGTACAAAATGCATTTGTTCTCCAGCTGGTAATCGTGTCCGGGACGGTTAACATTTGACGAACATATCCTCCAGATAGATCATCCACTTCGTTAGTTGACTTGGTAGCGGTAGTTGTATCATTCCACTGAATTGGGTAATAATCAAATGACCACACCTCCGGGAAGAAATCGCGTAGTCGAGACTTCGAAACCGGTGATGTATACATCCTCACCTTAGGTATTGAACCACCTCTGGCTTGAGGAAGCAAATCCGGACTGGTCGGGCCGTCCATTGTGACCTCAGAGTTCATTGGGCTGGCAAGAGCCGCATAGGGACAGGGAGTCGGTTGGATGAATTCAGTTGGTCTGTTTGACATGAGACGCAAGCCAGCCGCACGGAACGCACTGTCCACCGATGTCGGCTCAGATGGGCCATAATATTTGTTCTCATTCTGTTCCAATTTACTAACAGATTTCAAATCAATCAAACTTTTATCTCCATCAAAATTGTCTAGAGACTTATCCTGCATTCGTACAAAACAATACTGCATATCATTATCCTCGCCGTTATCTTTTGGTTTATCCAAACCAATTGGGATCAGGGTTAGTTGAATACGTTGACCGGGACTCACTCTCGTTTGACTCAAACTCAACCCGGACTTGATTCGCGTGGATTCCATTGCAGTAGCCGGGCTGATACAAGTTGGAATGTTTTGTAATTTGATTGTGACAGGGACCATTTCGGATGAAAAACCGTCATTTGTGATAAAATAGACGACAACTGTGGCCTCAGGGCCCCAGTGCCCATCCACTGGAAACGAGATATTGCGCAGATGCAGTGTTCTGCGGGGTGTCTTATAGGATTCACTGGTCTCTGTAATGCCCATCGCAGTAGGCACGGTTGTTTCCGTCGGTTCAGTTTCCGTCTCGTCAACAGTTTCCACCTGCACTTCAGATCGATCACATTGCTTGGGATCCGTACACACTTCGCAGGATAAACCAGACCAATGCGGGAAACAAGTACACTGTTCAGGAGCTGAACAAACACCACCTGAAGGAAAACACGGATTTGTGCATTGTGGCACAAGGCAATTGTCTCCACTCCAGCCTGGAAGGCACTGTATTTCATCCGATTGGTCAGGATCAATACATCGATAGTGTCCCAGTTGATCATTCCGATCCACACATCGATCAGATTCACTTGTGGGCGAAATGATTTGATAAAAATGCCTTCCACGAATCACGCCTTCCACGTGGAAAATTTTATCTTGCAATGGAATGTTGGCAAGCAACTGAAAGCTTACAAATCCAGGACAGCTTACTTGAACAGATTCGATTGAAGGCCAGACAACCATCGCGTGAAGCTGTGAAGAGAGCCATTTATCTAATTCCTGGTGTGCAGTAACCCCTTCTTGAAGCTTTGGTGGTCTTCGTCTTGGAAGAATCAGTCGTTGAGGTGTTTCTGGTGGAGGTGCTTCAGTTGAAGGGTTGGCTTGTGTACGATAAGTTACCTCAAGAAAAACAGACCGCTTTGCATTGATCGGTGGAAGCTGAAACTCAGCCACCCCATTTGCATCCGTTTGAAGTATTTGAGTAAAACGATATCGGTTCTTACTAGGCTTTCTAATCGGTCTGTAAAGTCTATAGAAACAATGTGGGGTAGTTTCCTCGGCTAGCAACTGCACAGTCACATTTTCCAAATTTGGTAAATCGGGGTGAATTAAACGTAACGAACCAATCACAGGTATATCCGGTTTAAACATGGTCGGTGCTTTCAGCTCAAAACGAGCCTGTGTGTGTTTAATTGTATCCAAACCTGGCTCACAACGACTCACGTTTGATCCGGTTCCTTGTTCTTCCACATGAGCGCAAACAACAGGAACTTGATCCCACGTCGGATACGTTGGACTTTGTAAATGTAAAAGTTCCGTGGACACATTGAATGTAACACAACCATCAGTCGGAGATAGCAGACCACTGATCGGAATACAAGGACGTCTCTCCGGACGCCAGCTAACAGGAACACATGCCTGGTCTTCTAAC